AGGAGGATCCCTGTGAGTTTGAGACCAGCCTGGGCTACATAGTGAGTTCCAGGTCAGTCTCAACTACATAGTGAGACCCTGCCTCAACCCCCCCGCAAAAAAAGTATCAACCATATTAATATCTCCAAAAATAATTTCTTCCGCTTCACTTACCTAAAACCAGACAGCTGAGTTTTACCCAGATTGAGGTAAGACACTAGATGGGTTGAGGTATCCACACATTGCCCAACCTGCTTCTGGGACAGAGAGAGAAGAGTGGAACAGTAAGGGAAGGAGATCACACAGAAATTGCTGAGAGAGAGAGAGTACAGACCTTAAACAAAACAACACAAACAATTGGCATGTTCTGGTTAGCAGCCTGAGGCAAGGGCCCATCTGCGAATCTCTGGATTTCATATAAGTGATTTTTACTTTAAAATAAAAGGCTTCCAGTGACCACAAATGCATGAATACAGTAATCCCAGCTTGCACCTCCCCCAAATCCATGAACTATATTGCTAAGTGGAGCATTCATGATCCTGTGTCTGCTTTCTAATGTAACTCATGTCACCATCATCCAAATACCTGTACCCGAAACAGCCACTACCTTCAAACGAAAGTTCTCTGAGTCATTTCTAAAAACAGTCAACTTATCATTCAAGAGACTTCTGTCATTTCATATTGCAGCTCACTGTAATTTCACTTAATGTACAAATAACGTTATTTTTTGTTTGTTTTGTTTTGTTTTGTTTTGGAGACAGGGTCTCACTATGTAGTTGAGACAGACCTGGAACTCACTCTGTAGCCCAGGTTGATCTCCAACTCACAGTGATCCTCCTGCCTCAGCCTCCCCAATGCTGGGATTACAGGCTTGTGCCACAATGCCTGGCAAATAACTTTAAAACTGTATATATGGCCAGGTGTGGTGGCTCATGCCTATAATTCCAGCACACAGGAGGCAGAGGCAGGAGGGTTGCTGTGAGTTGGAGGTCAGCCTGAGATACACAATGAGTTCAGGGCCAGTCTGAAGTATAAAGTGAGACCCTTTCTCAAAACAAAACAAAACAAACAAACAAACA